TATATATGTTTGGTGGTGTTTTAATGACGACAGTTTTCTCTCCTGTAAGTAGCAGGAGAAACAGTTATTATTGCTGTATTATTCCTGTTATTAAAAGAAAGTGGGGGTGTACCAAATGCAATTTTCGATATTCAAAAAGTCTTGATTTTGGCCTGTTTCGATTTGTTTCTTGCTCAATATACCAAAAAGGTTGGTATATGGGAAACACTGGACAGGTTTCTTTATTTACCCAACTGATTATCTGCAGATAATCATGCCCACTCATTTTTCTAAAATCTAAATTAATGCTTTCATGAAATGCATTAAAATGGAAAACTGCCTTTTCAGTCTGTGGACATAAAAACATGTCCTTTGAGTCTGTGTTTAAACGTCTATGGAGAAGAAAAGAAACGTATAGCTTTCATATATAGATTTTGTTGAATATTACAATTTTCTGAGATCATAACAGAGCTGTAATCAGCCAGTTAAAGCTAGATAGAACATAAATCACTATAACAAATTGGTTTCACTGTTGCCTTGCAGCAAGACGGTCCTGGGTTCGATTCCCGGCCCGGGAGTTTTGCATGTTCTCCCTGTGCATGCGTGGGTTCTCCCCGGGCACCCTGGCTTCCTCCGACAGTCCAAAAATATGATTAATTGGTCATATTTCATAATTGGGTTAATTGGTCTTTCCCAAATTATCCTTAGGTGTGTGTGTGTGTGTGTGTGTGTGATGGTTGTTTGTCCTGTTTGTTTCTTTGTTACCCTGTGACAGACTGGCAACCTGTGCTGGGTGAACCCCGCCTCTCACCAGCAACTCCCAACCCCAAGGGTGAACAGATAACAGATGGATAAATTAGTTTCAATTATCAAATTACTGGATTTATTTTTCAATGGTATTGTAATTTGAATTGACATCAAGATATGCAATTAAATATAATTTTTAATGGAATTGAAGAGAAATGTTCTCAGAAAAGAAGTTCTGTCATACAGGTGTTTTATACATTTGTGCCAAGCGCTGTATGGCCCGTCTGATACCGGACCTGGACTCACCTTCAGCTCAGCGTTGCTCTCTGCGTTCTTGAGCATGTGCAGCAGGAACTCGGCGCTTTTCTTGGGCCAGCGACCCTGAGTCCAGCCAAACTGCTTGGCCTAGAAACAACAAACCAATTAGGAGAGACGCAATCCTCCCCATTCAGTCTCAAAAGTTTCCCCCATCGCTGCTCAGACTAAGAGTTTGTTTTCATCATTTATCCAAAGGTGTCCTAAGAAGGTCATCCTGGCAGCCCTTTCGCTCTGTCCAGGTGTTGGTGCTGGGTCTAACCTGAGCACAGCGGCCCACCCCACCATTGTAGCGACGGAAGGGGACACACTGGTGCTTGACGATGACGTCCCTCAGGTACTTGTTGGCTTTGCGGATGTGCATGCCCTTGATGGCCTGGGCTGTCTCACGGGTGTTCTGTTGGGGAAAACATAAAGCACAGCAGTTGAGTAAAACTAATTTGTTTAGAGACTGGAGAAAAACCTTGTGAGATTAAACAGTTGAAACAAGCAAAAGTTCAACTAAGTCACAACTTTCCGACTTTGTACAGAGACGAGTCTCTTGGTCAGCTGTGTAAATTTTAAAAAGTATTAACACGAGACCTGATATGACTCCCGTAAAGAATGCAGAACTATCACCTGAACTTGAATGTTTCCTTGGCTTGGTTTAAAATAATGTAGAGCTCTGAACTGTAACAACATCCAAGTACATTTGAACATCCTTTATTATTTTCAAAATGAAAACAAAATTAAGATGGAGAAAAAAAAATTGCACAGAATGTCCCCCCACCAAACCAACAAGTCTAAATGCCTCCCAAACACAGCAGCTAAAGCTAGACCTGTTGGACCATCACAGTATGTAAGACTGCTTCACATGATCTCACTGCAGAAAAGCAACTTCTAATAATCTACTGCTACTTAGCATATCTAAGGCTGTGGCATTAGACCAAATCAGGTCTAATTTCAGTCTCCAGTCTCTAAGTTTGAAACACCTAAAACCAGAAATTCAATGTCTACCAGGAACACTGAGTATCTGGCAGACACTCAGATTGATTGAAGAAGCATTTAAAGAATTTCCACAACTTAAAGTAAAACCTATTGTTGTGTAACAGAATGTCATATTAAAAAGCTAAATACTTAAAAAGTAAGTCTCTTGCCTTATCAGCAATTTTATAAAGACACATAAAATAAGGTAAAGCATCTTAAAGGGCCAGTCTGATCAAACATGTGGACAACTGGATGGCTTACCTTGAAGTGTACCCGGAGGTTGGAGCCCCTCGCCTTGCATGCTGAAACGAAAAATAAAGACATGAAACAACAAACCAGCAGCTAAAACGCAACGTTCACTGCCTCAGTACTGTGTAGCTCAGGTTTGATAAGTTCTTTTCACGATTAATCCAAAGGTGTCCTAAGAGTCATCACAGCCACCGAACGAAGCCCGGAACCCAGATTCTGCTACAGATTTTACTCACATTTAGTAGGGTTCTCGGGGTCGAGAGAGTAGCGGACCATTTTCAGATACCTGCAACACAAACACGGTCAGGGTTTTCATTGAGCCTCCTCCTTCAGCTCAGCAAGAATACATGCTAATCTAAGTTGCTAACGCCTACTCATTTTTCTAAAACAAATGCCAACAAAACCAGCATGAACATAAATTCGGCACTGACTTGAGGAAAGAATGTGCTGTTAATATTCTTTAAAAAACAGCCTTTAAGTGTGTATCATCACATGTAGCCAACATGGCGGAGAGCTACAGTAGCGACCTAACCCGGCGTCCTCTCACTATTTAACATGTAATCTATAATCTACGCCTTCAAACTCAGACATATGACACCAGATTGGTTGCTTATTATCAATAAATGAACCCCAGTGCGTTAAAACATTGGATGGAAAAGATTTAAAAGAGATTAAGAGCAGATTCAGCTACATGAAATAAATACTAAGATCCTCACCTCTGAGGCCGCAGTGGGAAGAGGAAGTACCGTGGCCTGTGCTCCTCTTCTTCTGCGTCCTCTGAGTTTGCCGTCCCCTGCTGGTCAGGAGGAGGCATTGATCAGAGGGCTGTTTCACAAAACTAGGTCAGTGGATTAAGCCGAGGTTTTCCGAATATCCTATCTTAATTAAGCATCGATCTGGTTTCTTAAAAGCGGTAACACATAAACTATGGCGATATTCTGTTCAGTCAGCGCTCACGAACCTCAGAAACCAATGGGTTTTGTCCGTGATTTCGTTTTCGTGTCTGTCTCGTTTTTTCTTCTTGATTAATCTGCATTTAAATACCACTAATTTATCTTGGTATTCAGTCATGTACTGTTATTATTTAACGTTATTATACTAGAAAATACCACAATCAGTATTAAAACAACCCACTCTGTTTCTGTTCGATAGTTTTTCTGAAGAACATTGTTTTAGTTTGACAGAAAAGCCTTTGATAGACTATTGCAGTTTTAGATACATGGGTCATGAAGAAACAAAGATATTGTAATCAAGTGGTGCTATGTTAGATGCAGCAGACTTTACAAACTAATTTAACACAGCTTGATTTTTTTTTCTTACGTGAGTTAACATTAGTTTTGACAAAGAAATGCACAGTTTCAATTACAAATATTTAAAAGAAGAACTTATTTATATCATAACTGTACCTTTTGTCTTTATTAAGGAGGCTGTTAATACAATTCATTTTATAAGCTCTGTTACAATTTATCTTTTGTGTTTTGAGTGCCATTAATCTGCATTCCAGAGAAGCAGGAAACTGTCCCTTCAAAACAAAGGCATCACAACTCAAACAGGAAGTTAACCATAGTTAAAACTAATTAAAGACGCTCTTATACCTTCTAAGTTATTAGTAAGTCATTTGCACATAGGCAACATTTTATCCACATACTGCAAAATGTTCTCACACTTAATCTTGATCTGTTGTGTTTATTTATTGGTAAGATGTGGAACAAAACAGGGTAATATGCAAAATTTGTGTGAATCTGATGTCAGATTCACACACTGACACTGACTTCCACTGCTCATTCATTAAAGGTGCTTATTTGAGCAAATGTCAAGTTTTAATATGACAGTTTTTAGTAAAAAATGGTCTGGAAATGTTTATTTATATTTTAATTCTTCATTCAAAGTTCTGTTATTATTTGCTATTGTAGCAGCAATATCTCACAGAGCTCTGGTCAGTCCATCATCTGAACATGGACAAATTATGGAGCAGCAACAAAACAATGAAGACAGTAATCAGGGAAGCAGACGAAACTCCCATGGGAGCTGTGGAGGAGCTGGGCTTTACGGAACAGAAGCAGGAAGAAGCTCAACATTGCAGTTTGCTACAAGTACTGTAGAACACATCGAAAAGGTCAGAGGGGCTCCTGATCAAGTTAGATCAAAATGAAACTTTCTGAGCTAGTAATAGAAATCTGACAGCGCATGGCCCCTGAACACAGCATCTCCAAGTGAATGGTAGCGGTGGCAGCATCATGTGTGTAAAGTTAGAGAAAGTTGATGGGAAGATCAATGGAGCTAAATACAAGCCAGGATCAGGAAAGTCTGATAGTCTGTAAAATATGATACAGGAATGTAGATTTACTTTCCAGCAGGACAATATCTCTAAACTTAGACCAGAATTAGGAAAAAGTTTAAATTAAAGCATTACAATGCATTAGGATGGCCTATTCAAAGTCCAGACCCAAAATCCTTGTCAGAATCAGTGGTAATACTTGAAAATTGATGTCCATAAATCTCCATATCCAGTTTGAATGAGCTTGAGCTGCTGGACAAAACTTTTAGTCTCTAGATGTTTAAATCTACCGACATGCAGTTGGAACTGCAGTGAAAGGAGGCTCCACTTACCAACTCACAGGCTGTATACAAACACTCATCACACTTTAAAATGTTGGGAACAATGCACTAAAACATACTCCAGTGAGCTGGAAGAAAAATGTATAATTAAAAGAAATAAAGAACAACACACAGGGGAGCACACATTAAAGCCAGATATATATTTATTTGGTATTCATATTGAAACCAGCTACAAATAAAACCTTTTGTGCATGTCCCTTGAGTCATGCACAGCATTGCACTGTAAATATGCCACAGCTTGACACCTTGTGTCTAAGTAGAAAAATAAAGATATTATTTACATGAAAGAAAACAGTCTTAAGTTTAATCCTGCAGAAAAGCTCTTTAGAATAGGAACAACCAGATCTCATCCTTCCAAAGCATGCACTGTTCTGAACGGTTCAGTTGTTCAGCCAGAGGTGGCAGTGGAGTTAAAAATGTGAACACTCTGCTCTGTTAACATGTGGCCTGTTGAAGGGCGTGTAAGGAAGAGATTAGTGGATCACTAGCAGTCATTCAGGGTCCGATGAAGTGCAGACCACAAGGGTTGATGAGCGGTGTCTCTGCTTCGTGTTGAAACCTTCTTCAGCTGCTCAATGGTAGATTTTTTTGTGAGTTTCACATTCGGTCTGTTCCATTCTGCACTTCATGTCACTTCATGTCACATTTCCATAGCTCTGATGGAGTCTGCTGGGCAGCAGCAGGGATCTACATCCCAACGCCTCAGAACGTAGAATGTCTTCTGATGTTCTATTGAGGCTCATTTTTAACATTAGCGCAAATAACCTTTTAGTAGATACTAAAAATATTTTTGCCTTTGGCTTACATTTCTGTGAATTAATTGCTGTAATGAATGACCTTTTCAGTAATGTTCTAATTTATGGACACACACACACACGTAAATGTCTGAGTTCACTTATAATAACAATCAAGCTTTCTTTAGTAGTCAGTGTTTGAGAAATCTGGATTTTCAGAGGAATGTTATGAGTGAATGATGTGGTTCCAGTCCCTCAGCTACGTTGTCTTCTCCAAGATGTCCATCAGATCCTAATGTAGGAAATTCTGTCACATTAAAACTAACTGTATGTGGAGAGAAAAACATGAAAGAAACAAACAGGAAAAGTTCTTGCAAAGTTCTGCGAGAGCAGTTCTAGCTGGAACAATTACGAGGCACCTTTGCAAAACCTTTTTATAAAACTTGTTTTTTGTGGCGCCATCTAGTGGCCAGCCCTTCTGTCGTCAGGTCAACAACAAGCTTTAGGACTGGAAACCTTCATTGTACTATTACATAAGACATAGACATATCTGTAGTCATCCCTAAACCCTGATGCATTCACTGTCATGGGAGGGGAAACTTATTTTCATCATTACCTGTACATTATGCAGAGGTTTGCTACAGATTTTTCATTTTCAAAATCACATCGTTTTCATCCTTTGATATCTCAGTAAAGCTGTTTACAATACATTTTCAGCAAAAAGTTTAAGCTATCTTTTAGAAAATTGGATTTGTGGAAAAAGTCTGGAAATATTTCACTGCATTCCCTAAACAACATGTGTGATCATAGCTACAAATGGGCATTGAAAGAGCAGACCTTAAAGGGACAGTTCAAGAGTTTTAAAATGAGGTACTGTTGAATAGTTGAGAGTAGTTAATGTCTTGCAGTTGTTTCTTGAAGAACCACCTGAAAGGCTTCTGAACCCATGGTAGCTTTCTTGATGTCTAGTCCTCAGCTTCATGGATCATCTGATGGTAAAATAAAATATAGTTTTCCAGATATTTCCTGAAGCCCCACCCAGAAACAACTTTGATTTATGCAAGAAATGACATGAAGTGATTGGAACGTCGAGACCAGCTCAACTTTCTGGCTGCTTCTCTGATATGTAAATAATCCTCCTGCATCTTTGGCTCCACCAGCTGGCCTGTCTTCTGCAGTTACATTTAGTTAAGATCTGACTGAGATGTCTGTGATGAATAACTGAATTGTGGTCTGCACTGAATAGCTGCATGTGAGAGTAAAGACACCCTGCTCCTGCTCTCCTCCACGCTGCCCTGCAGGTGTGCAGCTTCAGGATGTGAGCCTTCTTCCTCTGGCTCCCCCTGCTCACACTGCTCAACAGAGCCTGTTGAGCAGTGTGGGGGAAGAGAATCTCTCTCCTTCACAAGTTTCTCTGGAAAAAACTGTCTATTGATAAATGACCAAATAAATGGACTATGAGTTTGAGACTGCGATTTCGATTCACTCTTTCATCTCAGAGTCCAGGGAGAAACTTCTGAAGCAGCGTTTGTGGTTGATGCTGCAGAATGCAGAGATGCTCCTCTGTCTGCACCAGGCTGACGCCAACAGGCAGAGCTACAAACCTGCAACAGGCAGAAATATTCAGGTGAAAACAGAAACGCCAAACAGCTGCTTCATAAAAACATGAACTTACTCTTTCCCAACCATTAAACATGAAACTTCAATTTGAAGGAAAAGTGGAAGAGTTGACAGTTAATCTGGAACATTTAAGATGTTAACTCCTTCATAATAAGTATTATGAGGCATTCCCAGAGACCGAGTCAGACACCAGGAGTGTCCTGGTCTGGACAGACTTTGGTCCACATGATTTGCCTGATAGAGTCAAACAAATCAAAGGTCAGCAGATACAGAAGATCCTTCATGAACACATTAGAAGGAGGCCATAGCTTGTGCCACTCATCATTGTGGTAAATGGGACTTTTACTGATATGTCTCAACTATGACATACAATGAGTTTCATATTTTCCATTGTATTGATGAATATTTTTCAAAAGAAATTTGGTTTACTGAGACACCATAATCCATTTTATTTATGGTTTGGGTTGTGTGAGGTTTTTATTTCGGTTTTATTTATCATTATTGGTTGTTGTGTTTTATTTTGGATACTCTGTATATCTTCCACTTTCTTGGTCTTTAAGAGAGTGAACTTGCATCATTATGCCATTGTCAAAATATTACTTGAAAAGGGTCACAACAACAATATTATAATTTTTTCTCAAAAATTACTGGGAAAATTTATCATCCGGCAAAATTTGTTCCAGTGACAGGCCCAAGTAAATTTGCATTAAATGCCTGGTATTGGATCTCAGCTGTGTTGGCATTTTGCGGACTGTTTCACAAAAGCCACAGATTTACACAAGGCCTGACAGGAAGCAGTCTGAGGTCCAGGCAGGATGAGGCAGGTGAAGGAACAGCAGAACATGTTTTCTACCTAAACGTTGATGTGAGCTCCAGTGTTGGCAGAAGCAGCGGTGCTGATAATGGAGGAGGACAACAGGAGCGCTGGGGGATGTGGTTTCTGCAGACACGGCAAGACGAGCCGGGGCAGCCATGTTTTTGTGTCGATGGGTGTGAGGGTTGCGGTGAGGGGGGACAGCAGAGTCACTTGGGGCTTGTAGCTGTGGGAGTGGGGGGGTAAATCAGGGCCACGTCGACCCGCTCCGAGCCGTTCTTTGGACAGATGATCTCAGTCAGACCGTCGGGCCGCGGCTGGCTCAGCAGCTCACCTGGAACAGAACGACAGCACAGTTCAACACCAGTACACCCAGTACACAGAACATTTACACACAGTAAACCTGAATCTGAGTCAGACTCCTGAAGAAATTAGAATGTTAAATCTATATCACTCATTTTGTTGTCTCAAATTGGTAAGCAGTAGCGAAATTTCTCCACCAGGTGGCAGCAACATATTTCTGTGACTGTGCTGAGATGAAGGTCAGTCATGCATGTGTGTTTATGACTGATGAACAGATCCAGATACGCTCCACAGTACCTGAAGGCCTGCAGGCCTTCACCCTCAGTCTCCCCCTGCAGCTTAAAGACCTGCTGGGTCTGGGCTAAGACCTTCTCACTGATTCTCTTTTTCAGAAGCCACTGGTGAGCTAACAGAAAGTAAAGATTGATGTAGAAAACAAAACCAGAGAAACCATTATTCTAGGTGTTTTAATGGTCCACTAAAGCAAAAATAGAACAATAATACACAAAGTGATGACAAAATTACAGAAGATATGAAACACCTTAACAGTCTGACGACAGAACGTTCCATTGTTGTTCCGAGACATAGTGGTGTGAGGTCAAGCCTGCCAGTCTGAATTCAGGGCACAAGTTTTTCCATTTTCCTGCAGCACCAACCATTGTTCCTGCTTGTGGCTATTTTTATGATCCCCTTGGCAATTTTGCGCTTGAAGAGATTACAATAAGGGAACATTTTTATCCGAACACACACACACACACACACACCACACACACCCCCACACACCCACACACACCCCCCCCCCCCCCCCACACACACACACACACACACACACACACACACACACACACACACACACAACACACACACACACACACACACACACACACACACACAGAGTACAGATGCACTGATCCCATGCCCATTTTTCCTACGGGCTATAAACAAAAACAAGCAGCAGCCTGAGGGATCAACAGGGATCAGCACAATGTGACTGTTTCCAGTATTTTTCCTCCTTGTCTGATAATCAGCCCTGAGCAGATTAAAGTGGAGCAGAGGAATATCCCTTAAGCTTTCAAATTAAAGAACTTTTTCCATCCAAATAAAAGCAACAACTTCCATGAAAATGTAACCATTCAGCTGATTCACACCTGAATATAGCAGGAAGCATCAGGTACTTAGTGACAGCATGTTGGGAAGTGTAATGTAGTAACTGTATTCCTATTCAAAGTCAAAGCTGTAAGAAAAACAGAATTTAATCTGAAGAGTGAAGTCTTCGTCCTGACAGCATCTGGCAGATCATTGAGTTTCTGATCGTCTTCATTTTGTTTGTCAAAAAACACACAAGAAACATGTCTAAAGTCACGTACACGTACAGACTATTTTGTATGTGAAAACAAGCTTTCTTTTCAAAAATACTATTGAAAAGTATGTATAGTTATGTGTGCATGGCAGGACAACAGTGTGCCATCCACGAAAGAAGCTGTTATTGGACCACTTCTATGAATACTGTCAGGTTTTGATAGAAACGTTCCTTCTGTCTTCTCTAGAAGGAGAAGAAGAAAACAAGCGAACAGGAATAGAACAGTTTAATGTTTTGCGGTTACTGTAGTCAAGATATCGAGCTGAGTGCAGTTTCCATTCTAACCTGCTGAATTCAGAAGAAGCTGTTCTGAACAATAGACTTTAGTATGAGTTGTCCATTAGGAGGAATATGTTCACATTTTTATCCAGAAGGGGGGCACTCCTGTCTCTCCAAACCCCCACAAATTCCTTTCTGTTGTCTGGATTTCAACATCTCATTCAGTTCATTACCCCAAGGAGCAGAGTTTGAATAAGTTGAATGATAAGACAAGAATGTTCTGAAAAAGAAGTACAGACAGCTCACATCACCATGGCAGCAGGCAGGAACAAACAAAACCACAGCGTCACTCAACATGGTGGAGGAGCCATGAAAACCATTCCTGCTGTTCCACGGTGGTTGACTAACAACCTGATGAGCGCTGTGTCTCAGTCACCTGAAGATGTCTGCGTTACAATCTGGAGCCTGGGTCTCTGCTCCATCCTGCAGCTCAGCAGTGATCAGATGATCTGGTTTATCTGGTAAACACCTGCCCCAGCAACATGCCAATCACCTGGAGGACGGGACATCTCATGCTTTCATCAGAAATACTGTTCAGATTTGCCACAATAATGGAAATTATGCAAGAGATATTCAAATGACCCAATAATCTCATATTTTGATAACTTATGCACAAACCCTGTCTGCTCTGGGGAGGATTCACTCACCTCCTCATGTCAAATGCTCAATTGGGATCCAACCGCCAGCAGTCCAGCTTAGCTTCTAACTAATTCAGTAAATAATTATTTGTCCACTTGCAGGCTTTTACAGAGCATACCTATGTCTTCCCTAGATGGTCAGTGATTCTGTAAATATGGAAATGGAAAAATATAACAACACAATGATGTCAGAGCAAACACATCAGATTCAGGCCTGAGGCAGCAAAATGCCGGTTCTTCAGCCATCATTTAAGGCTGTCCTACCATGTGATTCCTCACATCTAGAACCATTTAATATGTTCTAAATGGAAGGAAAATAAAGAAAACAGTAGCCCCGCAGATGAGGAAGCCCAGAGACTCATGTTTAGGCATTCCAGCAGGAAGGATCTAACACATGCTGCAGCATCTGATGACCTGCCAGAAGTTGAGATAATCAATGCAAAAAGCCCAGGATTGTCTGAATAATTCCTTGCAATCCTATTGAGCTTATGAAAAGGATTCCAGTCCAGGAGCTCAGTCAGCTCTAACAGAGAACAGCAAACTTTCACAAGCTTTCATATTAGTGCTGTTGTCATATGGCAATGATAAAAGTAAACAAGTCTGAATTACATTTGAATTTAATAGTCTAAGATATGTAATTTATTTAAAGGTCATTCTGTATTTTTCAGCCATTTTGACTTTTAATGAGTTGAAAAGACAATGGTCTGTTTGTTGCAGGGCCACCTTTAAGTTGACCTCATCTTATCAGGCAGCCTTCCAGATCAAACAGAAACAAGTTGCAGGTAAAAGGGCTGGATATGCTGTCAGCCGTTATCAGCACAGAGCTCACAGTGGAAATCAATACGCTCTTGTTTATGCTAATGGAATATGCAGCTCTGCATATTGTTGACGGGTTTGGGCCGGACAGGCTGCTGCTCTATTTGCTTTGTGATAAGCTAACAAAATTAAGAAGGAAGTACCAATAAAACACCACGTGCTCACCTTCTCTGCTCAGAATGATGAAACTAAAATCAGGCTCACAGGCAGCACAAAATTACTTTTCATATCAATCAGGTCTGAAGGCCAGAGCCTCCGGCTGAATCAGCTCCTCCTCCACTTCCTCTGTCTGACAGAGAGGAGTCACACTGTGACCCTCAGAGGCCTGATTTCAAAACAGAGGAATGCTCACCCTGACTGCAAAATACACAATGCATCCACACACACGCACACACCCCTACACACACCTCCCTCCACAAACACTGCAGGTAGAGGAATGACTTTCTTTGGCTCTTACTGTTCCCCCCTAAGCACCCTCCTTGGCTTCTCCTAAATGGTTTTCAATCACAGCCATAAAAGGAAATGGACACTTCTGCCTGAGCAGCAAAAGTTTTTCTGTCTCCAGGAAACTCCCACTGGGATGTCATGGCGAGTTTTGAGGGTTTGCTTCATTCACAAGCTTCAGCACAACAACTCAGACTTCCTATTAAACTTCCTCTTCCATTGTGAGTGTGTGTTGTAAGGAAGAACGGCTGGACTTTCAGGATTTCTTTATCACCAATAAAGCAAAGGTCAATGAACAATGTGTTTTCTCTTAGACTAAAGTATACATACTGAGATTCTGACACAGCCTGTCAGAGACCTCCACTAATATGGTCCCAGTGATTACTTAGTACCAGAATCACTCAATACATCTTGCATTAAATAGTACTGTCAGTGATGTTGACAGTACATCACTGAAAGTGATGTCAGTGATGTATTGTTTTCTCTTACATAATAGACAACATTGAGATTTTTTGCAGCAATTTGGGTCAACACAGGAACAAACTTCATTTTAGCCAGGGGTTAGAGTTCAACAGATGAAAATTCATTTTGATAGTGATTTTAGAAAACCCAGCCTAACTCCACAGAGCTGACATTCAGGCCCAACATGGAGCTCAGCCATCAGAACCATCCTAAGTTTCAGGTGTGATGTGACCTTTCCAGCAGAAACCAGAGCAGCGCCACCTCCCACAGCGACTGCAAATAGCCGTCAGTTCATGTTGCAAGTCTGCAAGCTGGGCAACACGACTGCCACTCATAATGAGGTCGCTGTGTGCAGAGGATGAATGGGTTCACAGCAGCTGCTGGGAGGCTGGCAGAGGCCAGCGGCTCAGATGGAGGATTAACACTGCACTGTGTTAAAAGGGTGGATCAACCAACACACACACACACACACACACACACACACACACCCCCACACACACACACACACACACACACACACACACACACACACACCCACCCACACACACACACACACACACACACACACACCCACCACACACACACACACACACACACACACACACACACACACACACACACACACACACACAGAAAGCTGAATGTTGAAAAAGTACACTGGAAACTCTATAGCACACCTCTGTCACAGGAAGTGATGTACCTTATTTTAGAAAAGTTCTTCTCATCCAAACATAGGAGAATAAGTTGGAAAACTTTAACATCTGATATAAAAATGTGGAACTAAGGAAACTGAGTCCTGCAGAAGCTGCCAGGCTGATGATCTCAGCTGTCCCTTTAGCTTTTTATCTCTTTCAATCCTTTTTGATAAAATGAATAATAATCTGGGCTGCCAGCAGTGACAGTTTTGGGCTCCAACAAAAACTATAGCAGCTCTAAGGAGCTCTGCAAACCTTCAATAGCTGCACTGGATGAACGCAGGATGTGTGAAATGGAGCGGAATGAGCGGGGAGGATGGGCTCAGAGAACCGGCCC